CACTTTTAGTTTTATTTGGGACTCATCAGCTGGATGTACCTGCATTTCAGAGTTGATGGATTCCACTGCTAGCCACTATCCATCTTTGCTTATAAAGCTTAGGAATTCATACAATATCGAGGCAGTCCGCACAGGATGCACATATGCCAACAAGAGACTGATCAACTGCAGTCCTTATTAACAAAGGGATGATACAAGTAGAACAACATCAAGTGAATGCAACTGCTAATTTCAGTTAACAATCAATATTTTAGTACTTATTAACTCAATTGGATACTTTCAAGGTCTCAGTTAATTGAATAAACCAAGGGCCTGTGGAGCAATGGATAATGCACCTGCCTTACCGATCAGGAGACTCCCGGGGCCGAATCGTGACAGGTTCGATTGTTTTTTTGCTCTTTTCAAAATGATAAAGGGAACTATACGTATGGAACTTAACATAAATAGAATTTCTAAAATTCATTACTGAGTGAATGTACGGACTATTGTGCTGAATTATTCTGTTATTTTTATGAAATTCAGAATGCTGTAAATTAACATCAACGACATTAATAATATTAGTGGCATACAGAAGTTTACTCTTCTACTTGTGTGAATTACCATCTGGATTTATAGTAATATAATAAATAATATGACGATGTGTTAATTTAATATACAGTTTTTCCCAGTTTGACTTAGTAAATTGTATTATAATGAAAGAATATTGTGGGAATTATTTTGGTATTTAATCATTCCCTTTAACTAGATAAGATTAGTGTACATCCTAGTGTTGATTGAGTACAAAAACTAAACTATTGACTCAACAGCCATCTTCAATGAATGGATGTTGAATGACAGAACAACTAATCAGCAAACTGAGTCTTAATTTATAACAGAAATAATATGTTTATATACAAAATATTTAAGTATAGTATTTGTAAGTGAAATCCAAGAACTGTATTTCGTCCTACTTGGGGCTCATCAGTTAAACCTGTGCATATTTAACTTAAAATGAACACAGGTAACTGATATTTAAACTATTAATGGTTATCAACTTATAGAATTAGAATCTAATGATCTTGGTCACTTATTGCTTTCCATACCAGTTTCATAATGATATTTTCATATATTTGGTAAGAACAATTTTATCCACTGATTAACCTGATAACTCGAATTCCCTATTTACAAAAGCGGTTCACTAATAAATAATACATATTTTTACAAGCATTTAGGATTATTTGTCGAATATATACCTTCAGATTGTTGATTGCCTTGCTCTTTCAACTTATTCACTATGTATATTAATACTGACTGGATTATAGTTTATGTCGAGTAGTTGTGTAGACTTGGATGTTTTTCTCTTCAAGTAATTCATCATATCTTATTTTGAGTTCAATATAGTTAAATGTTAAGAGAAGTTGGACTAAATAACAAAGGCTGATGATTAGACTGAAATAATTTTAAAAATTGTGTACTTTTTAAACAAAAATTCTTATGTTTTTCATTAAATTATGCCTTTGATTAACAAAAGACACTGTTAATATCAATCATCTAGGTAATCCTTGTCAACTGACGAGAATGAGTTAGGCCAAAACATCATTACCTGAATTTTGTGCTGATAATGTCGTTCAGTAGAACGATCAAAGCTCCATGACCAAATTATCCAGCTCACAGAACAAAACTCCACTAAAATAATCTAATTAAGCAACAAATCTATAAAATTGTTGATATAGTCTGTAGTGAAATTCTAATAAAGTTCATTTTTTGTTCTCTGAGCTGAATGGTATGATCGTGCAATTTTCATCGTTCTTTTGAACGATATCATCAGCACAAATTTTGAATACTTCACTTCTACCTAAAGTTTGTACTGATGATATCGTTCAGAAGAATAATGAAAGCTCCACGATCAAATCATCCAGCTCAAAGAACAAAACTTCATCAAAATCATCCATCTGAACTATAAATCTTCTCCACCATCTTACCATTACGAATAATGGAAATTTAAAAAATGATTATTTAATTCATAATTTAACATCAAATCGATTATATTATTAATTTGTTTCTAATAAGATATGGTTTTACGTTGAAACACTTCAAGTTGGTTACTATCATAACTATCAAATTAGTAAATGATTTATTTGTATAATTTGTTTGTCTTATAAATTTAGTTTTCTTGAGTTTATTTTACCTAAATTTTCAACAACAAACACACACATACATACACAAGCATTCAACAACAGAGAAAAGTGTAATGTTTATTCCTTGTTATTCCTTTTGAGAACAACATGTGAATTACCACAGATGTTGTTTTGTTTTTGCTTCTAATTTTATCTTTCACAAAAAGAGACAAAATAGAATATTTCATTCAGTGAACATTCATACACATACACATATTTGTATACAGTATAATTTAAAACTTGAATGGCCAGTATTTACACTATGTGTACTTCTGCCTTCAAGGTAGATAGATAAATAGATAGTTAGATAAGTTATCTATTTAGTAAACTATTATAAAGCAGAAAAAAAATTTTTTTTTAGAGGAGGATTAATTATGTATGTGTATACATGAATTAAGTGTTTGTTTATGTCTAATAGAGGCGGGGGATAGATTACAATATCAGAGAATGAGAAGTAGCATTATATTACGAAGGAATAATAGAGTTTTCTAAAAAAAAAACTGAAGAAATTAATGTGTGTTTATGTGTGTCTATGTAAAAAAAAAAGAATGATGATAATGATGATGACGATATTTATGGGAGTGTTGGTGGTGTTTAAATTCTTTACTTTCAATAGGAGTGGGATGTTTCCATAAGATTTTTTCATAAGCCCAGCTGACATTTCTCCCATCTCATCAACAAGGACAATAGTTAATAGACTATTAAAAAAAAACTTTTAAAATATATTGATCAAGTCTATTATATAAAAATGGCATGGAATAGTATAAGTTTTATAATAAAAAAAAACAAACATTAAAAACTATTCAGTGGAAACAAATTAATGTGACACGCATATTTTTTTTTAAGAAAAAAGGTAAAAGAGAAGTGGGGGGTAGGGGTGGAGGTGTAGAATAGAACAAATAATTTTAAACAAAATCGAACAAGGGATACAAACGATGACTACCCAAGGTTTTATTGTCTAACATTAATATGTCATCATAACAAAAATATTCAGTGGATTATGAAGAGACAAAAAAAATGCTGGTTATCACCTAATAGTATCGAACATTAAAAAAATGCCATCAATTGTTTATAGGACCAATGTGATGGAAGAAACAAATTGATAGATATCTAGAATAATTCTTCTTTTTCTTTTAGAATGACATGATTTGAATGGGTTAAGATCTGTAATTATTTTTCCCGTATTTTTTTTTGATGAAAAAGTAAGATGGATAATGTTCTAATATTAGATACCCTTATATTAAAATAATATAGATGTGTAATGATGATGACATATGTCATATACTTTACAACATATATATCATTATGAATTTTAATTACGAAGAAAGAACAACTGCTTGTATAGGTAATAAGAATGTTTGAAAATTTGAGTGATATAAAACATGTAGTAAAGTTTCAGTATTCTCAACAAGATTAAATTGTCCTAATCCATTGTCAGTTAGTTTAAAGGTAATGGTGAATTACGTATTTACTTACTTAATTACTCCTGTTACTCCCATTGGGAGCATAGGCCGCCGACCAACATTCTCCAACTCACTCTGTCCTGGGACTTCTTTTCTTGTTCCATCCAATTCTTGTTCATTTTTCTCATGTCTAGTTCCATTTCCCGGCGTAATGTGTTATTTGGTCTTCCTCTCCTCCTTTGACCTTGAGGGTTCTAAGTGGGGGTTTGCCTTGTGACGCAGTTCGGTGCTTCCCTCAATATGTGTCCTATTCACTTCCAACGCTTCTTCATAATTTCTTTCTCCGCTGGGATCTGGTTTGTTCTCTCCCACAGTAGGTTGTTGCTGATAGTGTCCGACCAACGGATCCGAATTATTTTGCGTAGACAACTATTATTAAACACCTGTACCTTCCAGATGATGGATTTCGTAGTTTTCCAAGTTTCCACTCCATACAGTAGAACTCTCTTGACATTTGTATTGAAAATTCTGACTTTGGTGTTGATTGACAGACAGTTATTTTGAGTTCCAGATATTCTTCAGTTGTAGATATGCTAGTGTTGCTTTGTCGATCCACGCCTACACATCTACATCAGATCCACCATGTTTATCGTTGGAACTCGCTAACAAAACACTAACCGGAAAAAAATAATTCAAGCCATAGAATTAAGTCATATAATACTTTTTGCTCAACATTTAAACGTTTACTTCTTGAAAATTCAATACTCTTTGTTTGATAAGTGCTAACTATCATAAAATCTAATTGTAAAGCTTTCTGTCAAGTGAATTCAAAAGCTTAAAGTAAGAAAAAATCGTATAAAGAAGTTCAATAATTTAGTTTAGTGACATCATTACGTTGATAGAATTCTATGAACTTTAAGGATTAGACAAAGAAATTTCAATTAATATACAGTGTTCAGTTAGTAAATGTATATCTGTAAGAGTATCAAGTGACTGGACAATAAGCATGCCACTTGAATTCTTGATTTTGTAGATCTACATTGTAGATCTATATCAGGTACTGATAGAATTTTAAAATTCATCATTGAGGCTGATCTAATGATTCTAATAATCAATTGAAGGTCCTAGGTTCGATCTCTAGTTCAGTTGTTGGTGCATCCTGTTCAGGATTCCCATGCTAGATTGAAACATAGATCTACAGCTTCATGATTTTAAATATTACCTCAATAAAGATTAATTCAACCTACAAGTTATATTTAAACTTAATAAATATAAAATCGCAATAGAGAATACCATTAATGTTTAACAGTACTTAATAGTATTAACCATGATATAATTTAGTAAGTATATATTATATATTTTAATTTACAGTGACATTTGATACTAAATCATTACCAGTTTCAATTCTACGGAATTCTATTCAACATTGGTTTACACCTATATGGATAATTATCATAATGAAATTATTACTACTTCTACAAATACTACTAATACTACTAATAATATGAAACAATATTGGACAAATCAAACACAACAGCAACAACAACAACAACAACAATTAACTACACATAATATGAATCAATCATTCATTACACCTATACAACAATCTATTAACTTGACAACACATAAATTAATATCTAAATTACCTTTAACTAATTTTAATATGGAATCAAATAATGAATCATTTAATTTGAATGAAAAATATTTCAATTCTGAAATAATTGATTCTAATACAGTACAATTATGTAATGCTTCAAACTATACCCTTAATCATCATCAATGTATACCGATGGATTACAATACATGGTCGAGTTCAGTATTAATAACAATGATAATAATAATAATACTAATAGTAATAATAGTAGTAATCTTAATGATAATGATTATGATAGTAATAATAGATATCCCAATGCAAATCTATTGAAATCTCTTCATAATGATATGAAACATAATCATAATATTATATTACCATTCAATACAAACTTAATACAATCAAATATCTTAATGAATAATAATAATAGAAATTATGATAATTCTAATGAATTCCTATATGATTTAGATAATGAATCATCAAATGGTTCAAGTATTTCATTAAATAGTAATGATACTACTACTAATACTACTACTAATATACATAATAGAATAAGATCATTATCATCAATAAGATCAAATAATAAATTATTATATCGATCAAATCGTATTAAAATTATGAATATAAGAAAAACTGGACATTTTAAGAATCATAATTTACATTCATTTCAAAGACAAGCAGCGAATATGCGTGAACGTAGACGAATGCAATCAATTAATAAAGCATTTGAAGGTTAGCCAAATTAGTTGATAATGAGAACATTACCGGTTTTTGTTTTTTTTTCTTCTTTTCTGAATTGATACTAATCGTTTTATAGATAAATAATAAATAAACGTAACTTCTATTCTAAAATGTGTAACATTTTCACCTTTTTTCGTTGTTGTTGTTGTTGTGACAAAGTGAAACTGTTTAAATCATAAGACAAGAGAAAAATAAAACAGGATGACAGATGTTTCTAAAGAGAGAAAAAAAGATGAACTATTCGGTTACATTGATTAAAAAATAATAAAAAAGTGAATGAATAAAAGTTAACATTCATTCCATCTATACATATAAGTAAAACAAAAATACTCCCCCACCCATTTTTTTGAAAGGTAATTTTACATGTACCAATTATAATGAAGTAAGGTGGGGAAGGGGTGAACTGTCAAGTAAATATTTTTAAATTTCAATAATGTAATGAGAAGACGAAGTTTATCAGAGGGACTAATTGTTTTAAATATTTTTAAAACAAATATGTAAATTCAATAGTTGAATTCATGAGTCAGTTGAAGTTAGACCACCATGAAAAACTTCGAAGTACTGATGACAATGGTGAATAGTGGCTCAATTTCATAGATTAGTTGAAGTTAGACATTAACACTGTTAGATGGTGGCTTAGTGGCCCAGTGGTTAGGCGCTTGTGCGCGAGAGTGATAAGTCATGGTTTCGAATCTCGCGAGACGAGATCGTAGATGCATTCGGTTGAGGAGTTCCATACTAGGACAAAACGGCCGTTCAGTACTTCTAGGTTTTCCATGGTGGTCTAGCTTCAACTGACTCATGATCTCAACTATTAAATCACTATGATATCCACCAAACTCCTCTGGAAATATGTAAATAATAAATATATGTTTTGTTATATCCTAATGAGTAGAAAAAAATTGTATTTCTGATGTTTCGTGACCTCATGTAAGTCACTTCTTCAGAATATATTTAGTTATATTGTTGTGATAAGTAAATAGAAACAATCGAGCTATTATATGTCAACATTAGGTGTATATGTGTGCTTATATACATTTTTCGTTTAAATAGACTAATTGTGTTTATATCACAATTTTATCAAACATTTTAAGTCTTATCAATTATTAATTAAACATGAATTTTTGCAACAATAATACAGATAACTCAATAGGATAGATAGTTAAACCACGTTTATTGTGTATCTCACTAGTCAGCTTGTTACTAAGATTCTATTTCAATATAACAACATGGAACATATTTGTTGACTGTTCATGAGCAACAGAAAAGAGCGAGTATCAATAACTGCAGCTAATTTTTCGTACTTGAAATAGTTTAACAAAAGCTTAGTGACATTTTGATTAATTCAACATCAGGTGTTTTCACTGTTGAATATACATTTTCATAATAAACACTAACAAGATAAAGGCAAATTATTTCTTAGAATATATAGAAACTCATTTGTTTAAATAGATGTTTAACTAAATGGATAGTTTACAAAAAACCCATTCTTTAAATCAATAATCATATAACAGTGGACTCGTGGGACTCGTCAGATGGATGTACCTGCATTTCAGAGTTGACGATATTCACTCCAGGACTAAAACCCGGTACCGTTCACTTCAAAACATCATTACGTTATCCACTTGGCTACTGATCAATTACAGTCGTAAAGATCAATGAAAAGACTCAAATAAATATTATATATTAAGCATTTATCAACCTATCTATGTATATAGTTAATTATCATAAGCAATTATTCAATCTAAATGAATAAAATGTTTTCTTGTTTTTCTTTTTTGTTTTTCTTAAAAACAAAATAAACAAAGGTTTAAGATCCCATATACCAACATTACCCTATGAGAAACGTTTATCTAAAGTAGATACACTTAGATTAGCAATTGGTTATATACATTTCTTACAAGAAATTATTCAATCTCATTCAAAAGATGAAATAACTTGAAAGATATCAATACAAATTCTGATACAAATTCAAATCATAATGATTATGTTGATGATAATGATGAAGATGAAAATTGTAATGAAGATGTTCCAATGGAAAATGATGAAAATAATATTTTGATTAAGAAAAATCTATTCCATTCTACATCATTTACAAAAATGTCATCTATATATTCTGGTCATTTAAAACATGATCGATTACAATCGAATTGTTCATTTACAATGAATAAACTTCATTCAAATTATAATTTAAAAGATGAAAGTAAAATGAATAGAGAAAGGAAGATTATTTTAAATTTACCTAAAAAATGTAAGTGATTTCTTGTTATTTGAAGCTAACTGTTTTTTGGTTATTAAATCAATTGATTATTATTATTATTATTCTGGTTCATAAAAGTAATTCTGTAAACTTACTTACTTGTGCCTGTTACTCTCGTGGAGGAGCATAGGGTGCTCACCAGCATTCTCCATCTAACCCTGTCCTGGGCAATCCTTTCCAGCTCTTCCAGTTCCTATTCATCCTATTTCATATATGCTTCTATTTACTGACGTAATATGTTCTTTGGCCTTCCTCTTTTCCGTTCCCTCAGGATTCCAAGTTAGGGCTTGCCTCGTGATGTGGTTTGATGATTTGCGTAGTGTATGTCCTATCCATTTCCATCGTCTTTCCTAAATTTCCTCTTCAGCTGGAAACTGGTTTGTTCCTCTCACATTAGGCTGTTGATGGTGGTATCTGGCCAATGGATGTTGAATATCTTGCGTAGACAACTATTTATAAATACTTGTACCTTCTTGATGTTGGTTGCAGTAGTTTTCCAAGTTTCAGCCCCAAATTCTGTAAAGCAGTGTATGTAAGCATTCTCTTACCCCGATCTACTTATTAAATAGTAACAAAAAATGAACCATATTTCAATCAATATTATTTCAAGGATATAAAATATCATTTTGAAAGTAGAAGATTAGATTGATCAGATTGAATTGGTTGATTAATGATCTTTTCAAAGAATAATCTCATACATGTTAAGATCAAGCTTAGAATAACAGATGAAAATAGTAAATGAATCACTATAACCATTATAAGTTGTTATCACGTTATATTTTAAGATATCAAGTAAAGTGTTATCGCACTTGATTAAACTCATATTTATGTGATCAAGATCAATCAGAGTTTTTCATTACCACTGGATTATTATCAGTATAGAATTGTAGAGATTGTTGAGTTTCATTGAGTTCATGAGTGGATCATTGTTAGACCAATAATCTGTAGAAATAATTTTAGGAGTTTCAGTAAGAAACCATTGACCAGTGAAGTTCAACCATGTCAAGTGTAAGGCGATGCTAAATGGTCTCACAATATCTTAGGTTGGTTAAGATTGGACATAAACACCATTGGATGCCGGCTCAGTGATCTAGGTGTTAAACATAAACGCACATGACGTATAGTCGTGGATTCGAGTCTCGAATTCGGGATCGAGGATGCATACTGATAGGAAGTCCGATACTAGGACGAAATGGCCAATTAGTGCTTCCAGGTTTTACTGGTGATCTAACACTGGTCAGTTCATGATCTCAATTACACAGACCATTAGAGAGTTAGATATTAGACTGGACAGTTCACACAGATAGAGAGATTACATTGTTTTAAGAAAGTTAATTACGTTCCTAAGGTTTACTGTCGTTTCTTCCATCTGAATCAGAGCTAATAACACTTTTTTTAAAAAACAAAATAAGAATAACTGTGTTGAATAACTTTGTGTTAGTTTGATAACTATAACATACGTAAAGTGATTCAGTAGTATATTGACTAAAATTGTCACATTTTCAGTTCACAAAAGTTAAAAGATACCTTAATTATTCCAGTAACTAGGGGCTTACAAACCTCATTAAATGATTTAAACTTTATTAAACCTAACATTAATCAGCCACATGTTTAATCAAATACCTCAATATTCATATAAATGTACTACTTGTATACAATCTTATCAATGTTTCATGTCACCTAGTGTTAGTATTCATCTTTTTGTGCTACCTCATTATAAAAAAAGCAATGCACTTTAACTATGCTAATAACCATAATTATTATATATTACAGATTTTTTAAAATCATTATCATATTAAAGTAATTTAATCCTTATTCATCAAAATTATTTCATTATACGGGTACCTAGAGAGTGTTTCCAAGTCCAAAAACAAACAAACAAACATTACCTCTCATTGAATAATTATTAACTCTATATGTATATGCATATTAAATGTATTCATTCATAAATATTATTTTGATTTGCATGTTACTTATGGTCTATTTATTAGAAAGTGGGTAATTGGAACACATCTAACTAACTACTATCTACATAGGATTACTTGTTAGGATTTACTTTAGTTTCCAAAAAAAAATAATAATAATAACTTACTAAGATCGAAAAATCCCGCTTATTTGTCTCTAATGATAGTTCATATCCATGTGCCAATCATTAATTTTTTTTAAAATAGTTGCTATGTCTTCTTTTCTTTTAATTTATATGTCCAGTTATTTCAAAGATAAAAGAAATATAAATGATAATTGATTGGAACCCGGATTGTTTGTTGTTTCTTCTTCGTTTTACTTAATATTTATGCAAAACCATAAAGGTATTTACATGTATGAATTATTTACAAACTAATGTTAGATGTTATATTTAAATAATTAAAGTAATTTAGTAATCAGATCATTTTAAATGATCAGCCATTAGCTTAGTTCATGTGTTCGGTAAACAAATCACGAAACGATATACATATATATTGCTTATGTGAAAAAAAGTTGTAGCAACAGATGAAATCGGTCTGTTTTGTTATAAGAAGTTTTACTTGTGATGTATTTATATTTTGATAGAAAAGAATATTGATAATGATCTAAAAATAGAGATATTCTGCTTTTAAATTATAAAATGAATAAGTTAAGATTGATAGTGACTAGCAGTGGAAATCAGAACACATGTTTCGTTCTATTTTGGACTTATCAGTTGGATGTATCTGCATATCAGAGTTGATATTCACTTTTGGGACACATAGTTATTGAGACCTGATAGACACTTGCTTATGTGATGGGATGAAGTTTAAATTCACTTGGTATTGTTTACTTAAATCTTCAAATGCGATGACGTTTGAAGCGAATAGTAATGAGTTGAGTCTCAGAGTGAATATCAACTCTGAAATGTAGGTACATCCAGCTTAAGAGTTGTAGTGTCGTTATTATGTTAAGCCCATATATCTTATTCTAGATTTCGGACAGACCATTTCATTCATTCTACTTGGGTAACATTCTGACCTTGTTATTTATTCGCTTATCAATCTTGACTGTTTTTATATGAGCGCGTAGGTGTGTGTACATTTCTTATCCCATTACTCATCTCATGTCTGCAGCTTACTTTCGTGTAGCTATAAATATTGATTAACGCTTGGTTAAATGGAGTTGGTTTACCAGCCATCTCCACTCTACGTCGTTTCTCTTCTCTCTATTCCATTCACTTTATATACAAAATATATATATTCACAAGTCCATTCTCGTTATTTGACTTATCTAATTCCGTTATTGACTAGCGCGATTTAATTCGATGATTATATACGAGGATAGGTGATAAAAAACATTCATTACAATATTTTTGGCGTCAGATCCATGGGCCACTAAATAGTCTCAAATGGAACGAAACGCACGTCTTGGATTTCACTGTTAGCCACTATCTATCTTAGCTTATAAATACGATATATTTTCAAAATTACTGAAAATTTTCTAAATTTCTAAAACAAACTCATATAATTCTAATCATATGAAGCTCTTTTTGTTTTTGTTTTCACACTAAATTCACACATTTATCAAACGATTGTCATTGTTTGTTTGTTTATTTTAAACTAATGAATAAAAAGAAAACATCAACTGTTTTCAATGTTCAGACTATGAATGATTTCAGTAATTATTTGATTACGACTTACCTTTTCATTGTCTTAATAGTATTGTTTATTTATTTTATACTTAGTTTCAAGACATATTCAATGAAAGGTCATCTAACACTGTTGGACTAATTATGCTCTGATTAGAGTAATCATTCACAATAATCATATTAATAATTTGATCCTTTTTTTTATTATTCATGTCATGTCAATTTTTGTTCTTTTATTCATTAGATAAACTAATCGTATATACATATTGTCCAGTTCCAGTTTAATGTTGTGTCTAAGTAGGTTAGAAACTATTAAGATTATCAGTGTACAAACAGCAGGTTATCTGTCATAATTAATGATGAGTTCATTACATTTAAAGATGTATAAACAATGGTTTATTATTTGTTTTTGTTTATTCTTTTTTTCCTCTGATCTTATACAAGATGCTAAATAGTTAACTAACATTTTAGGTTGTTTTTATTGTATGATGTAAAATAGTTCATTGATAATTGTTTATTGTTAATTATTAAACATATTAAGCGTTTATATTCAGAGTGGGGGGTTTTATGAGTAATATAGTAATTGTAATAGTTGAATTTATGAGTCGATTAAAGCTAGATCACCATGGAAAACCTAGAAGTATTAGACAGCTGTTTTGTCCTAGTATGGGATTCCTTAGCAGTACGCATCTACGGTCTCACCTCGAGAGATTCGAACATAGGACCTATCGGTCTTGAGCGTGAATGCTTAACCCTTAGACTATTGAGTCGGCATCCAACATATATGTTAAATTGTTCTTGTATAATCAGAAAGTTTAATTGGTTAGATAGAATAAGATTACCTTTTTTATTGTTACGATGAAAATAAACGTTGAAAACGAAATGAGGTATAATAAGATGGAAGTATAATGAAATAAACATACAAAATTTGTTAAAATATTTTGTAGATATCAATTAGGGAATTATTGTAGAGACAGAATTCGGAACATACGAAACATTTGTTACCAACGCTGATTAGATGATGTGGTAATAGGTATAAAATCTAAAGGCCATAAGTTTGATCTTGTGAGCGGTCATGACTAAGTACTAGTGAGGATACAGTTGTTCTATTATGAAGTAGTTGTTTCATTCTTCATGCTTTCAAAGGGTCTATGAATTCGTTACATTTGAGGATGAATGTATAATACTAAGTGTAATAGTATAATTACTTGTCTGAAATGTATGGGCCATACTGAAACGTAGCTGAGAATAACTGAGAAGACTACTATGTTTATATTGAGTAAAGAGTTTGGTAAAATTATGTGACGGAAATTATTATGAAATAAACGAGTTCAACCTACGAAATCCATGTATTCTTTATTTTCAAGATGACTATGATTATCCGTAGAAGCAAATATAGAAGAGTTACTTTTGTTTTTCTTATCCATCACAGGTCAATTTAGGTGAATAGCAAATGAAATATTTAACTTTGATCGACTTCAGGCAGTTCTAATTGCTCCGTTTACTTCTTAATTAGAAAGTGATGACTGACAAATCAAGAGAGATTACATATTCAAAATAAACATATTCAAAGTGTATAGAATATAGTTTGCACATTTATATAAACCAGTAACCAAAATATATTCCCATATATGCCATTGTTTGTGGTAATCTAGTGTCTGATTGACATAAGTGTTGGAAACTATCAACCATACCAATCTTAACAATGATAGCCCTCATTATGTTTACTTGTAAACATTCATTATTGTTAAAATGGGGTATTCTAAAAATGATAATATTTATTAATGAATTACCCTGAATTCAGTTGTTATTCTTTTAGTGGTTTCAAGTATGTGGACTACAGTAAGCAAAATACAAGTGATTAAGGTGATATGAAAGTTATTCTAGTCTATAACTAGTATTTTTTGATATATTGGTTACCAAATAGTTTCAGTATATATCAACTAGGGAGTCATTAAAAACCAGTGAGCATTGACATAACTATTTTATCTCAGATCATAATTGCACAAAGGTGCACATCTGGGACTATACTTAAGATGGAATGCGGAATTCCTACTCTACAACTACAGCTCCGGTCATTTCAGGATTAAACAAAATATTTACCCACTTTCACTGTCGAGCTAATTTTTCAGTAATGGATTGTTTAAGATCACTAAAGAGTTGTATACAGGGAAAAACAGATGCCTGACACAGTCTAGTTTTCAGTAACTATTTGTCTGATGTCAACTTCTGACAAATGCCATCTCCAAACAGTACAAATCTCTAAAAAACTAGCACCTAATGTACATATGATATTAGTAATTGTTCTATTAGTATGTTGATTTCACATGCCCATTTTTGATGGAATAACTAATAACTATTAGTTTGAACATTCTGTTTATCATTTTCTTTAAATAATGAATCGTTTTCGATAATAAACACCTTCGAAATTAGCTTATGAGATTTTGGATAATATAAGTAAATTCATACACTTTCATTCTTAAATGATAATCAATTCATAACTTAACATTCTTTTTGAACATTTTCTCCCCATAAAGTATTTGAAATGATGATGGGACGAAGGGATGATACAAGAATTTTTGAAGATCATTCTCATATTAATGATAAAACAGAAACAATTAATGATCCCTATTACCAGTCTGAACAAATTCTTCTTGGACATAGTTTAAGTTGGCATCGTGATAATCCACCATGGAGTCGAAATAGTTCATCGAATTCTACTAATATTTTGGTCGCTAAATTATGGATTCCAGAAAAACTTGAATGTATAAAGGCTATTTAATTCAACAATCAATAGCAGATCATTTAACTTGTTTGTTTAAATGAAATAATTTATTTACAAAAACAATTTACAGCATAATAATGAACATTTATCTTAGAAATATCACACAAACTACTAAATAAATGTAAGTAGTAAACACAATTGAATTACAGTAATTATATAACAGAATACAAGAAGAAATCTATAAATTAAAATGTACACAAAATTTGATAGCTGAATAACAGACATTTTTTTTACAAACCACTCAACAAATACAAAAAAAAGTAGAGAACAATTTTCAATGAACAATATTTTTTGCCAAATGACCTTATTGATTAGTGCATTTACTCAACTTTTGAGTTATAGTAAATATGAGTAGTATCGTATGGATTATGAGATTAATTCTGTTTTTCTAGATTTTCACTTTAAATCTTGTTCAGAAAACAAACAAACCAGTTTATTTAAACAATAATGCCTTTTTTCTTGTCAAACTTTATGTTTTTATAATGTAAAAAATAATTCAAGCGTAAATAGGTCTCTTTAATTTTTGTCTACATCCTATTCGTTAATAATGTCAGAAACGACTGGTTAATCCTCAATTAACTAACCAACAAATGAGCAGATTGACTGAACTATAGATTGGACAATGTAGACAAAAAGAACGGATAAACAGGTTATTTAGAATTTGAGCTGGTTATTGGGTTATTAGTTATAAACCTTGTACTTAAACTAACCATTGAGAACCTGTAATCACTGGACAGACATTTCATTCTAATGTGGAACTTCTCAGAGGTGCATATCCACGACCTTTCACGGGATAGTCAAGCTCGGGACCTTCGTTCCAGAGCGCGAATGTTATGATGGTAATTATATTCATCTTTTCAAAATGCCAAGGATTTGTGTATCGAAGATTTTCGGCTAGGTTAACTAGTGAACATAAATTAGTTGATTACTTGTGCAAATAGTTTACTTCAAGGGGATCTTGCTCGCTTTAAAGGGTACTCCAAGGATGTCATCACATGAATATAAGCACTTTTAGAGGACTACGAGTTCATTTAGGATTGCCGACACTCACCAATGGTCAGATATAAGATAGGTTTTGAACATTTTACTATTTGCTTCTAATTACCAATATGGTGAGCAATGGTTGGATTCCACTGCTTACCACTATCTTCTGTGTTTATTATTACTATATTATATTTCAAACTAAGCAAAGTGATATTTGAATTAAGAATGTAAATTTGAATGACTGCGAATTTTTAGCTAATTTATAAAATCATGTCAATATGCTATTGGCAGAAAAATACCGCCTGACTTTCAAATAATTCTAGCCATGTTCGTTGTGACAGTTATTACACGAAACCTCTTTTAACTGATCAGATGCAAAGTTTATCCAATTATCCATTTCAAATAAGACTCTGATATAGCTAAACGGATGAATCTGTCTAAAAAACAAATAAGAGACATAGGTAGTTGGTAATTCTATCTAATGAACAATGCATGATGAAAAGTATATTATATTCATGAAAAAAAGGTGAATAATGCTGCAGCTAGGATAAATAAAGCGAAAACAAGGCACAACATATGAAAACATGCATACCCAAGTTCATTCTGTCAGAACTACATTTAATTTTTTGTGGTGTATGCTACTTATGTTGACAGATATAAGTAGTATATATCACCATGACAGAAATGAAGCAACTGTGAGGTTTGTTAGAACCACTTCAAAGAAGATATACAAATGATGCACTAAATATATGATTGTTACATTTTACTAAACTACTAGGCAAATTCCCATTGAACAATAAATTGGTTATCCCCCCACCATCAAGGTTATTCAGATGATTTATTGAGTAGTTGCGAATCAGGTCACAAAGATGAGCATAAGTTTGGAAAATGTGTAGTGACCTACTTTTGCCAAGAGAACGCGATTGGTTTGATGAAAACTGTTATCATTGTAACCAATCGTACCAGTGATTTTTTTTACTGTGCTCGTTTGTTTAACTATACTAAAGATATCCATCACTCCCCCATTATTCTTCCGTTGACTGTGGCCTTGTACTCTCGCACGTCCGCCCATTGATTCCGCTGTATTTCCTTTGGCACGATCTCGGTATACTTTCGATACCACGAGATCGCCAACGAATAAATCTGGTTACAACCTTCATCTGCCTTCTGATTTTCTGGTACGCGCTCTTCTTGCAGTGGTGTACATAGTCAACCGCAACTCGACTCCACGCTACAACTGCTTGCTGTGTGGGAAGTTTCACCCATGCAATTCATGTGTATTTCGTAATTTTAAATGCTTTAAATGTGATGAAATTGGATACATTCAGTTAGTTTGTAATACTATGGTTCGTTTCGCTGCAACTTATGCTAGAATTTGTAATTGTAAGTTAGGTGTATCTAATGATCATTTATTTTTTATCCACGACTTCCAAAAGCGGTGTAGAGTCACATAACAGTCCAGAGTTAAATGAAACTCAGAATCATTGTGAGACACAAGCTACCAGTAGATCAAGCTCTTATCCCATTTCTCATGTTATTGTACCAGATATAGTTTATCCTAATGATTCACATATTTCTGATGACATTTCTCACAAATCTGAGGAAAATATGTTGGATGAATCTAATCATGATCGGAAACCTGATACAGTTTTGATAGACTTTATTCTTTGATGAAATTCTCAATAAATTTGAGGAATATATTGAAAAAAGATCAAATTCTGACGTCATATCAAGTGTCATTTTGCCTCACAATGGGCTTTTCTCTAGTAATATTCCTGATGAATGTGACAAATATGCTCTGAATGAGGCAAATTCTAGTCACATACATGATATTATTGTATCAGATGTTGGGTATTCTCATAACCAATGTATGAAGAGTAGAATCCCTAGTCATGGGTTTAATGAATCAGAGAGAATAGCAAGTTTTTTCGAAGTAGTCAGAGAACCGGTTTAGATAGACATGAAGTTTGCACAAGCAGAAAATTCAAATCGAGTTCAGGATTACCTCAATGAGTATGAGGCAGATGCAAATTTCCAATTTGATTGTTTTGCAGGCGAATCAAACCTAGATGAATTCCATATTTCCATTACACATGTCGATGCATATTTTTCTGTTTAATGTAAAGTGAAAAGCAAATGGAATATACATCGTATTTTTATAAAAATCAAATTCACAAGATGGAATACCCTAAATTACATGTCAGTGTGTTCTCCCAAATAGTGTAGTGTCGGATATTATGTTAAGCCCATATATCTTATTCTCGCCTTCGGACAGCTCAATCTATTCATTCTACTTGAGTCACATTTTGACCTTGTTAATTATTCACTTATCAATCTTCACTGTTTTTATATGAGCGCATATCTATGCGAACACTTCTTATCCCATTACTCATCACATGTCTGTAACTTATTTTTGTGTGCCTATAAATATTGATTAACGCTTGACTAAAGTAGAGTTGGCTTACCCGCTATCTCCACTGCTCGTCGTTTTGCCTAGTTCTATTCCATTCACTTCATATGCAAAATATATATATTCACAAGTCCATTCTCGTTATTTGACTTATTTAATTCTGTTACTGACTAACGCGACTTAAGTCGATGATTATTTACGAGGATTGGTGATAAAAAACATACATACGATCTACTTGGAGTCAGATCTCGGGGCACTAAAGTGGAGAGCCCGTCAACAAACATCGTCCGATCTAAATGACGACAAAATAATGGGCCACAAAAGTGGTGACCCTGCCGACGACGAACCTAACTCAGCAAGCTACGTCGATGAAGAGATTTCTGCACTTGATACATTCGACGAACAAACTCAACGGATCCAGCTCAATCTCTAATCCAATGCACTCAGCAAAGCCTGTGCACACGACATAGACATGCACAGATCTTATTATATTGTCGTTACTTTGTCCTCATGTTAACTATTCCAATTGATCCATTCGTCGGATCGCTCCATTGCGGTTCAAATTATCATTATATGCTTATTATTACATTATCGTCAATATCATGACCGGATGTGGAATTATTAATCTTGTTCGTGCTGTCAATAAATTATGACATTTTCACAATCACATCACTCACCGAACGAATCATCATTTTATGAGCTTTCCACGTTATAACAGTCAAAACTCATTGGACTATATTTTTACTATTCAAAAACGTAAAATTTTCCTGCTTTAAGTGAGTTCATTCCAATTTTTTCCATGTCATTTTGACCTAATATCACATTCATTCACTTAGTCGAGGTCATTACTTTATATTATCATTACATACATTTTTCACTTTAAAATCGCTTCCTATTATGTCTATGGATGCCTCTAACTACTAGCTGATATGTAACCATTACCACGATAGCCACTAAAGGTTTCAGAACCCCATGGTCAATGTGTGGGTCTTTCAGCCATTTGAATACTTTTGTAGCGTGGCGTCGAGTTGAGATTAACTATGAACACCGCTACCAAGAAACACGTGCCAAATAAATCAGAAGGCGAAGGTTGGACGTAACCAAATAAATCCATAAAATCCCCGAGAAGCATCGAAAGCATACCGAGATCGTGCCAGAATACAAGCTTGGTTACAGAACGTAACCAAATTCGCGCGAAGTTACAATCGAAGTGTAAGTAAAAGAATGGAAGCACAAGATAGCTGTCATTAGCACAGTCAAACAAAAGCACGTTAAAACAAACACTGGTACAGTTGGTTATAATAATAATTGTTTTTATTAAACCAGTCGTGTTCTCGTGATAAATGTGAGTCACTACAGGAGCCCCCCGCTAGAAAGGGTTTACACTTTCGATAAATAGCGGTTTAAATCGTGGGACTGATCGGCTGACGAGCGATTGTAGGACGGAAGAATTGGCGAACAGGAAAGCGATCGTTGATCGTCGAGTTGCCAACGAAGGTCGTTTTCGGAGAACGGTACCAGGAGCGATGTGCTGTATTTGTTGCTTGAGTTGGCATGCTACACCAGAGTGGTTTGTATCCAGAATCTGAAGATGGCGTTCGTA